GGAGTAAACGTAGTTAAAGTAACAGCGGTGTCAATGGAAAAATAGTTCTTTTGAAACACCATTTTCTTGCAGGTACGAAGGTTTATGTTTGCCAAATTCTATTCAATAAACCTTTTCATAGCAAGTACGCCCTTGGGAAATGAAACAATACGGTCCTTAATTGGTTAAAATATTCATTTTTATTTCTCTTCCTTCATATTGGGATTGTCTAGTTATAAATAAGCACTTCCACAAATTTGATAGAAAATTAACCTACATTATGAAAAAAAGGCCCTACACATAATAAAAACAAATTTTTATCGTCAAAATCTTTGTTATTATTAAGAGGAAAGACCAAAGAATTTTTTGATTATTAAATTATATTTTTTAATCCTTTTTAGAACCATCAATTTTTTAGTTAAAATTTTGTTTTTCTTGTGTCAGCGGGAGATCATGAATTAGTATGGAAAGTTTTAATGTCTTTTTTTGCGGTGAAAACACATTGATTTGAAAATTCTTGCAAACATCAGATAATTGTCGTATTTTAATAAAAACTCAGGATTTATTAACAAACGAACGAAATTATTTTTAAACGTTTCTTTTTCAGAAAATCAAATGCAATTACATTTTAATCAATTATGTGAAGGCACCTACAAAGATTTTATCGTCAAAATATTTATGTTTTTATTTAGAGGAATGACAAAATGATATTTTTGATTATTAAATTATAGTTAGAATCCTTTTTAGAACCTTCAAAAAATTTGGTTAACATTTTGTCTTTGTTGCCTCAGTAGTTGATTATGCATTAGTCTGGGTGTTTTTGTTTTTTTTGTTTTTTGTTTTTTTTTTTTGGTGAAAAATACATTCATTTGAAAATTCTTGTAAAAGCAAAGAAACTAGAAATAAAGCAAAGTATTTTGCATATTGGAAATATTAAATTTAATCTGTTAACTTTTTTTTCATTTCACTCCAGACAAGGCAACAATAATGATGCAAGAACAATAAAAGAACGGAAATTAAAAAGACAAAAAAGTGTCTTAAGTGTATTTAAAAATATATCTTAGACCTTAAATGTATTTAAAATGTATATTAAACCTTAAATGTATTTAAAAAGGTATCTTAAAACTTAAATGTATTTAAAAATGTATCTTAAATGTTAAATGAATTTAAAAGTATATCTTAACCCATAAGTGTATATAAAAATGTATCTTATACCTTAAATGTGTTAAAAAATGTATGTTAAACCATAAATGTATTTAAAAAAAATATCTTAAACCTTAAATGTATGTAAAATTATATCTGAAACTTTAAGTGTATTTAAAAATGTATCTTAAAACTTAAATGTATTTAAAATGTATCTTAAACCTTAAGTGTATTTAAAATGTATCTTAAACCTTAAATGTATTTAAAAATGTATCTTAAACCTTAGGTATTGTTTTTCTTTGGAGATGCGTAAATATAAACAATGCAATTGCAAAATGACTTAAATTCGGCTACCATTTTTTACTGCACGAGTTAAAGAGGATGTCCTGATAACGAAACGGTTATCAGCACAATAAGGTATATGTGTGTGTGTATGTATGTTTGTATGTATGTATATATGATAGAAATATGGTGAATTTAGAAAGTAAGAATTATTTTAAATATGTTTGGTTGAATAATCCCGAGAGATTCTCTCTATCCAATTTTTAAAAACTTTTTCAAATTTACAAAAAAGTTGTTTTATAAGACAGTAAATTTTATATATATATATATATATATATATATATATATATATATATATGAAAATTTACTGTCATATATTTATATATATATATATATATATATATATATATATGTGTGTGTGTGTGTGTGTGTGTGTGCACATTTCATTGAATACGAAAGAGAATGTGGTTTGATTTAGTTTTGAAATAATTTCTCATGTGATTTAATTTTCTTTTTTTTTCGGGTGATAATTTATATAAAAACTGTACTAATGTTCTTTTTTATGCGAGAGCTTTCGGCTGTACATTTAGCCATTCTCAAAGTTGAAATATATTAACTGTTAACAAGAAATACTTTGTTGTATGTATGTATTTATATAATGTTCTCATTTTCAAAACACGGTCGAGATATTATGTCCATGTTCATAGTTGATATTATTAAGTGTTTTTTTTGTTTTGATTAATAAGCCTTCCATTAATTTTAGAATTCTTTGCATTTAGATGATGCTATTATATTTGTGTTGTCAACAATTACGTTACGAATAGGGTCTGGTACGTCTGCATAAGTATTCAAATGAGACCTAATTGAGCTATGGTTAGAAATGTGTAGTGAAAGTCTTCGTGTCAAACATGTTGGTATATGGCCTATATAATTATTTACGAAATTTTATTGATCAGAAAAACAATTCTTAATGGACATTTCTGTTTAACAGTTTACACACACACACACACACACACACACATATATATATATATATATATATATATATATATATATATATATATATATATATATATATATATAATTAAGATAATAAACGTTCCCAGTGAAATATATATTATTGTAATTAGTGTATTACTTTTGTCTCTCTATATCTATCTATATATCTAGCTATTTTTCTGTCGTGTATATATCTAACTACACCCACCCATATATATATATATATATATATATATATATATATATATATATATATATATATATACGTTAAAGTTTGCATAAAATCACCAGAACGAGGTCATCAAAATATAAGCATGAACATACATAATAGATAGAGAGAGTAGAATATGAAGATAGAGCTATATGATAGACAGATGAGAGCGAGATAGATATACCTAGTCTGTCTGTCTGTCTGTCTGTCTATCTATCTATCTTTATGTATACATATATATATATATGTATTTGTTTTAAAATGTGATACAAAATCACAAGAAGGAAGCTGTCATGACTATAAATATGTGCAGATAGATAGATAGATAGATAGATAGATAGATAGATAGATTACTCGGGGACAGTAAGCTAGCCATCGATCTGAAGCAAGATAATAATAACTTAAAATTCAAGTTTAACGTTTAAGCTATATGAACTCAGATTAATTCAGGTAATAAATTTGCAACAATATATTAAAACTGTAGTTAAATATTTGTAAGAGTCGAAAGTAAAACTAGTGTAAATTTAACAAATGGTCATAAACAGAAGAAATGGAATGAAAAGTCGTATCAATTTCAAGTCGATTTTTGCTTTAAGATCCAAATTTTATCACTGGGTTCTAATCCATGATAAACACCGAACACTTGAAGAAATTCCCAGGTTTTCATTCAGATCATATTCCCTTAATGCCACCTGTTTTCTCTCTGACCTTTTTTGTCACGAAGTAGTCTCTCATTTTACTGAAATCGTAAAAGGCAACATGTAGAATATAAGAGCAAACGGAATATTCGTCAATACGTCAATAGGTGGCAGGTTGGAATGAAACTTTATTAGGGGGATTTAAGAGAAACGGTAGCAACAAGGATGTAATATATGTTGTTTGTAAAATTATTCAGAAATCTGAGTAATGAAAACGCAAGAAATTCGTGGAAACGAGTTTAGAGATTATTTACATTATTCGGATAATTGTCCTCATCTTTGTCGCCATATTTATTACAACGTTTCGGCTGTTGTACGCTCCGGCCTTCTTCAGGTGGTTGGAATGTCCAACTGAACTCTTTATTTCGTTCACTGGGGTAGACAGTTCTAGTTCCATGTTTATTGGATGTCAGTTATCAGTTATCTTCTGTTAATTCCCCTTGAGGACACACGACACAGTGGAAAAAGGCGTTAGTTAGATCCAGTGACAGGAGCCAAAGAAGCTGAGAAACGTGAATTATGATTTTTGCTGACTTGAAAACCCAGTAATTTTATAAGTTACTCCAAAATTCGCTTGAGGATGAAATGGAACTAATGTCTTTTATTTA